GGTTTATTAAGGAACAGTGAAATATCCCAGCATGCCCATCCACCTTGTGCTTCCGAAGTATGGAATACGTAAAAACAAAATAGATGTGGATGTTATCCTGGAGTAGGAAGGCATGGTGATTTTCTTCCTAATCACTTCATGAAAGGTAAATGCATTCTGATAACTTTTATATAGGCCTTGTATTGACCTAGTTTTTAATCTTGATTGACTGACCTGATCTCCTTCAGTGACAAGGTGACCCGCTTAGTGAATGAGGGAAGGGATTATCTTGTTTATATGAACTTCAGTAGAGCCTTTGGCACCATTTCCCACAGTATCCTGTAGAAACTGACTGCTTAGGGCTTGGACAAGTGCACTCTTTGCGGGTTAAAAAGCTCTCTGGATGGCCAAGTCTAGAGACTGGTGGGAAATAGAATTAAATCCAGCTGGCCGTTGGTCACAGGTGGTGTTCCCAAGGGCTCAGTATTTGGGCTGCTTCTATTTAATGTTTTTATGAACAACCTGTATCAGGGGATCAAGTACTGCTTCAGTCAGCCTGCAGATGACACCAAAATGGTGGGGAGTGTTGATCTGGAGGGCAGGAAGGCTCTACAGCGTTATCTGGACAGGATGGATAGGTAGGCTGAGACCAGTGATATGAAACTGAACAAGGCCCAGTGCCATGTCCTGCCCTTGGGTCAAAACAACCCCATTGCAGTGCTATAGGTTAGGGGCAAAGTAGTTGGAAAACTTTCCAGCAGAAAATGACCTGGGGATGCTGGTTGACAGCAGCTGAACATGAGCCAGGAGTGTGCCCAGGTGGCTGAGAAGGCCAGTGGCACCTGGCCTGTATCAGCAGCAGTGTGGCCAGCGGGACCAGGGCAGTGATTGTCCCCCTGTACTCATCACTGGTGAGGCCACACCTCAAGTTCTGTGTTCAGTTCTGGGCCCATCATGACAGGAAGGACATTGAGGGGCTGGAGCATGTCCAGAGAAGGGAAAGGAGCTGGTGAAAGGGTCTGGAGCACAAGTCCTGTTGAAGAGCAGCTGAGAGAGCTGAGGTTGTTTAGTCTGGAGAAAAGGAGCCTTGGGTAGACCCTCTCACTCTCCACCTGAGAGGAGGCTGAACCTAGATGGGGATCAGTCTCTTCTCCCAGGAAGCAAGTGATATAAGAAGAGGAAATGGCCTCAAACTATGCCAGGTGAGAGTTAGACTGGATGTTCAGAAATATTTCTGTGCTGAAATAGTTGTCAGGCATCAAACCAGGCTGTCCAGGGCAGTGTTGGAACTGTGAAGGTGTTTAAAAGATGTGTAGATGTGACACTAAAGGACGTGGTTTAGTGATGTGCTTGGCTGAATCTGTGCTTTATAGTGCCAGCAATTATAGTAAATTGAGTGAATGCTACTGACAAACCAGCCAAGCTCACCAACATGGACAGGCGTGTGTGTCTCTTAAGGGGGTGATGGGAGGAACTGACTGTTGGGGTGACCAAGTGAGTCTGGATGGCTGCCAGGGACACAGCAGGATCTGGAAGTCTCCATCATGAAAATGATGGTGAATGTGTTGGTTTAATGTATTTCTTTCTGTTTCAGAGCAGTTCTGTTTTTTTCTGTGCTCAGTTAATAAGATACAGCTAGCTGCTTTATTGAAGGTAGAGTACTGGTGCCATCTGGTGGTTTTCGGACATTCCCAGGAATGAGAAAAACCACTTGCGAGGAATACTAAAAAAAGTACATGGATATATATTCTGCCTTAGCATGTAATTATTCTCTTGAATTAAGTCATAAAAATCTGCACATGTATTCATAACTAAGCTTGCTACAGCAAATTTAAATCTTCAATCTGTTTCTTTCTGCTCAACAAGAAGGTTTGTTTCTAGTAATTTCTTTTATGAAACAACATAAAAGAGTTTTATTGGAGCTTACAATATTTTAGAACTCATTTTAAAATACAGAATATCTTCTGTTATGCCATTTTGCTAAACCCAGCCCAAACTTCTCACTGCTAATGTTTGAAGTCACTATGCTGTTTTATAAGTTGCTTATATATTATTTCAAAATAAAAGTTCAACAACATACATCTGACAACAGTTGAAATAAAAAACTTTGGTATCTGAAGCAAAAGCAACCACAGTACTGTTTTCTTTGTCTGCCCATCTGTTGAAATCATGTCCTGCATCTTAAGTTGCTTACCTGAGGTAATATCCTCATCCCTCTTCAGAGCCCTCTGTACAGACTGTATTGACATTCCTAGCAATGGAAGTAGGACTATGACTGCTTCTCCACTTCTCTTGAAGTAAATGTCTGACTGATAAGCATCTTGTCCTACAATGCAAAAACTCGTAAAAGAGAAAAATACTTTATTTTAAGCTGGTGAGGCTTTTTGATTAATTTCATTTAACTGTTACTCTTCATCTGTTGCAGGTCACCATATTATTTTTATAAGTTACTTTTAAATAAATATGGAACAGAGGTCTGTTTGTTCAGACTTCTTTCTATTCTGTTGCAGCTGATTAGAATAACAGACTATTTTTGTTTTAATCCAGGTAGTTGAAAAAGACAAATTCTCTGCTTATATTTCTTCATAATCTCTGACCTCATGACCATACAACACTTTACTGGCATTGTGATGGAAGTGTAAGTTAGACTTAGTTCTGATAACTAATTGCATTAATTCTCTCATTACATGATTGTGCTCACAATATCAGGAGCCATTTTTTAATTCTGTCTTTAGAGAATAAGGTATTTCCAGGCCTGTTCAGCTAGTATAGTTTTTGGAATAAGATAGAAGCAGCTATTAAAATTGAACATATATAATAGTACTTAAGAATTTAATGTTAATATTTAAATTAATGGTCAAAATGTTAATTTATCAATATTTTTGGTCATCTTTGAGAATAACAAAACTGTTTGCCATAGCAAGGACACTTCTTTTTCAGCACTTTAATTCAGCTCATTGAAAATCTAGGTTTGTCTCCTGAGTGAGATGCGTGATTTTCGTGATCTCACAAAAGTGCGGTGCTTATGCCCGATGTATGCCAACATAATCATGAGCATCAAATTTGAAATTTTTCTTTTCCACACTTAGTTTTGAATCTGAACAAAGTTCTATTATTGTAGTGCTTTGTTCTTAGAGCTGTGACTTTCACCTTAAGTACACTGTCCTTGTGAGTTGAGGTGTACCTGTTGCTTCCAGTACAGTTGTCATTCAGCTTTTGGTGCTGTATGACTTTAGTACCTTTCAGCAAAATGATTCAGCTAAATTGTTATTATTTGCTATAGTTGTTTTCCTCAGGGTTTCCCCACTGTGAGCATTATCCTTCTGTTTTTTAATTAATTAACATTATTGTGCTAAGTTTCAGTGAAAGAAAAATATGTATGCTTATTCTGTTAAAACAGAGCAAAGTTGTAGTGGTTTGTAAATCTGCCATTCTCTTCAGTTCTGAATTTATACCTGGTAAGAATAACTTCCTGTCTTGTACCATAAAGCTAGGTGGTACAAACTACAGTTACAGTTTGATAATATGCCAAGTTGTTAATCACAATCACAGCACTTAAGAAATCCTTTAAAGAAAATATTAATACTCACTTCTAACTTATTACTAAATCAGTACAATGATCCACTTGCTCAGTCTCCAGCATCCATCTAGATCTAAAAAGGAGCTGAATTTCCCTGTTGTTAGCTGTCATAGTGCATCACTATCACCCTATAACTAGAACTGGAAGAATATAGTGATGATTTAGGACCAATTTGGTTATTGGTTTTTTTCCTCACAAATTGAGTGCCACTTCCTTTTTCCACATGAACCAAAGTGCAACCTTGTCCTCTTCCAGCAGTAGTGAGGGAAGATTCATGACAATGCCTTTTGGAAGACTTGTACTCGAGTTCATGTTGTGATGTGCTTTTAGAGTTGTAATAAGCCTCTGAGCTGGTTTATTTAGACGCAGAGTGACTGCTCTGTTCTCCACATTTTGCTGGAAAAATAGATCTTTTAAATAACAAAATCTTATGGAGTTTATTCTGCTGTGTGAGGGGCTATGTGTCCTCAATGGGGATCTTTTTTGTGGATTCCAACAAAAGAGTATCTCCTGCAACTCTGCACTGCTTTCAGTTAATAGTGATTTTTTATTTTGAATTCAATCAAAGAAGTTCACAGTGGAACTGCAAAGATATTTTTATTGGCATTTTTCTTAAGTTTTTGTCAAGTGCTATCATTAACAGCTTGTTTTGTCATTGTTTTCGTAATTCCCTTAGGAATATAACAGCAAAATCAGTAACTACAGTATACACCTTTGACTTTTTGGAGCAGGAAGATGGAACTAGTAGCACTCTTTATCTGTCACTGTGATAGCTGAATCTTCCCTGTGTGAATCAATAAGAAAAATTGCTTCTTCTGTCAAATTTACCTATTCATGTAAGATTGTATCACCTTTAGTCAAAGAGTAAAGATCCTCTTTTTTATAATTAAAAATATAATTTTATTCTGGTAAATAGCTAGAGATTCTGGAAATACTAGTTATTTCCCTGAAAGTATTTTGAAAATTAACATACAAAGAGCAGATTACTTGAAAACATAGCTTGAAAACTGAGAATGCTGCTCATCTAAATGTGCATCTTCAATTCAAAATGTTTTCTTTTCTTACAGACTTTCTAGTCCGTAGGTTGTTGTTTAAGAAATCTGCATATTTATTTGGTTATTTTTCCCTGTCATTTTTGAAGAGAATTAATTTCTTTTTATTTTTCCATCACATGATAACAGGCCTTCTTAGAACTTCTTTTTTGAGCAATTTTCCTTGTCTAGTAGGAGACTATATTAAATCTTATTTTTCTTTATTTTTCCCAAGGATCAATTTTTTCCCCCTTTTCTTGCTTACAAGTGCTTCTGCCCTACTGTTCTCTTAAATTAACAGAGATACCTAAATACTTAGGTAAATTTAGTGAGCAGAGTATTTCTTTGTGGCAGCTATATTTTGAGGAATTTTGGATGTTAACTTTCAGACTATTTTTCTGTCTTTTCAGGTCTCTGGATGGCAGACTCTGAAAAGAAATGCTGTTTTAAGAGGTATGCCTCATGTAGGCCAAAATATTTTGGACTGGTTTCCATATAAATGATAAGGCTGTACTTCTGAGGAGTCCCTCTGCTGATCCTCTCTGTAATCTTGCATTAATAATAGTTTCAATTGTGACAACTCTCTGAAATGTGAAAGCTTGTGCTGAGATATGCAGGCTTGTCTTATCAGTTTTAGTGGAGAGGCCTGTAATATGTTGCTTAACTTTTTGCTTGATCATCTTAAAGAGAACGCTGCCTTAGTGGATGAAGGGGATGAAGCAGAAACAAAGCAAATCGACTTTCTGAAATGTGCATGTCCCCTTTCAGCCTCTCATGACTTTGTGTGTGTGTGGGTTTGTTTGTTTGGTTGTTTTTTTAATTGAGAATATAGTCCAGATTTTGTAAATGCCCTCACTCCCTTTTTGGTGTTTTGTAAGACATCCAGACAGTGAGAGGCTGACACCATGCCAGGAGTGTGGTTTAAAATAATGTCAGTTGGATCAAAGATAAAGAAATACTAATCTTTTTTGCAAATTATATTTTTTCATGTTAGCTGAATGTTTGGAACATTTTCTGTGTTTGTTTGGGGTTTCATGTTCCAGCACTGAAAGAAAGTGTCTCTTCTCTCTCCATTGTTGGTATGTTGTTTTTGAATAATTCATTGCTTGGCAGCTGTTAAGAAAACTGTGTATTCAAAATGGAATTCTTCTACCATGTCTTCCATCCATGTCAAGCAGATGTGGTGGCATATGTTAGAAAAGTAGGCTTTGTCTTTGTAAGAGAAAGATCGGTGTGAGTATTTTCTTTTTTAAACTTTTTAAAACAGGATGTCTCAATTCTTTTTAAGCACTTTAGAGGGCTTCCTATTTCTCTAAAGCAGTGCAATGCTGATTTGTTCTGCCTCCAAAACAATAACCAGGATGAAGTACTAACAACTTGGGTTAAGAGTGGCTCTTCAGCTATTGAGTAAGATTTTGGTGTTGCTCTTTTTCATGCAGTGTTTACAAAACTCCTAAAGAAAGTGATGCTAAGAATTAGGGAAGATGTTATTGCTATTTTCTACACAACCTGTGGACAGAAATCAAGGTGAGGATACTGCACTATTCTTGGAGGTGCACACTTGTAGGGTGAGAGGCATTGTACTCAAGCTGCAATGAAGGAGGTTCCTATGAGACAGTAGGAGCATTTTCTGCCCGTGAGGGTCGTTGGGGACTGGAAAAGGTTGCCCAAAGAGGCTGTGGAATCTTAATTGTTGAACAATTTCTGAGTGAAACAGAACAGCCCACTGTAATTCTATGTTAGTGGCCTGCTTTGAATGCAAGGTTGGATTAGAGAAGCCTGGAGAGGTTACTTCATTATATCCATAACATTATCCTATGTGACATGAAGGGACACTTTTTATGAATTGTACATTTCCTGTAAAAATAGTTGAGGCTCAGTTTGGTGTGTTGTGTGTCTTTTTTGAGGTTGGTTTTTGTTTATGTTTTGGGGAGGAGGGGGTGTTTGGTTTTTTTGTTTTGTTTTGCTTTGCTTTGCTTTGGTTTTTTGTTTTGTTCTGGATTTTTTTTTTTTTTTTTTTTTTTGTGGGTTTGGGGTTTTTTTGGTTTTTTTTTTTTTGGTTGGTGAGTTGAGTAGAGTTTTGTGATTATAGAACTGAGTAGTGACTTCTTACTATTCTGGCAACATGGTTTTGAGGGAGACGAACATTTTTAATCAAGTGTTATGGTTAAGTCAGTGGATTGAAAGTTTCAATGTTATCTACAGTTCTTAAAGTTTGAGATTGCTTGCTGTCATCGGTTACTATTTGAGCAGGTAAATCTCATAAGAACTAACAATTTAATTTAGAAGAACTAAAGAATTTCTGTTTTACAGAGATTTTCCTTTCTTGGCTTTGGCTTTCTAAAATCTAAATTAAGGTATGGTATTTTCTCTTGTCTGCTGACTGCTGTGGGGGTTTAGTGGGAGCCTGAGGTTCACAGTGTTAAAATGAGCCATTAGGTTTGGAAAATGATGCTGTAAATGTTTAGAGTTTGGTCTGTCCTCTGAATTTACCTGTTTTTATATAGGATGGTACCTTTCTGTGAAACTTTTGCTTCTGAACTTGATTGTGATCCTGTGAAAGATTCGTAAGCTCTTGAGCATGTCTTCTACAGTGCATGATAGGTCACATTACAAAATAAGGCAAATGTAGATGGTCCCTTTTAGAGGCTTGCTACTCCTACTAAATCCTGCACAGTCTAGTGGGTCTCTGTGGGGGGGAAAAAAAAAAAAGTGTCAATGGGGAGATACATTATTGGTCAGATTTTTTTTTAAATAAATAAATAAATATATATATATATTTAGGCAAGAAGGTATCGGTCTAGGTTGTGCTTTGGAAAAGTAAACTTCTACTATTGGTTCAAGCTGATGTGCATGACTTAATTGTCAACCTGATTCTGTGTGTTTTCTTTTTACAGCAGCTTTAGATGTTTTAGATATTGAGCTCCCGCTAACTTCATTGAATTAGTGTCTTCTGTGATTTTCTAACAGTCATCAGCAGCTTGAGATCAGTCAATATAGTAAGAAGTTCGGCTTGTTTAACGCATGGATAGGCAGAGGTAGTAAATTCATATGATGATTCAGGTTAGAAAAAGATCATGTCCTTCATGTGAGGTGGTTACCTGTAATAGGACCTGAGAGAATGGCATGACCTGTGTCAGGGAAGATTTAGGTTAGGTATTGGGGGAAGGTTCTTCCCTCAGAGGGTGGTTTGGCACTGGAACAGGCTCTCCAGCAAAGTGGTCACAGCACCAAGCCTGACAGAGTTCAAGAAGCATTCAGACGATACTCTCAGGCACATGAGAGATATTAGGGATGTCCTGTGCAGGGCAGGATTTGGACTTGACAATTCCATGGGTCTCTTCCAACTTAGAATATTCTCTATAATGCAGCTCCTCAACACAGAGTAAACTGAGGTCAGACCAAGTGGCTCAATGAGTTATCCAGATATCTGTCTGTGCTTTTAAGCTGCATGGTTTCTTGGGAATATGTATTTAAATTTGCTTGATTTTTGTTTTTAAGGTTAGATTACTTGTTTTGGAGGCATATGAATTCATTTTTAGCTTTCGTTTCAGCATTCAACTGTTTGAGAGATGGGAAGACCTCTTTCTGTGAAAAAGGTCATCTGGAATTCAGATTTGAAAAAATATGCCTTTTTCAAAGGGAAGTTCTTTAAGGGAGACCTGGATTTGTCTGGAAAATAGAAAAATAGCTTGTGTGATTCTTAGTCAAACTTGATGTCTAGGATGTTGTGTAGTCTTGCTGTTTGGTTCCAGTTCGTGTGAGATTACTGGCATGGATTTTGGTGGGATGATAACAACTTGGCTGTCTTATACAATAGAAGTGGTGATTACTTTTGTTTGGCACTAGACTGTAGAAACGTGGGCATCTTGGGCTGCCTTCCCAAGAACAAATGTGTGGTTTGAGTAGTGCTTGTACCCCTTCTGAGCTAATAGTGTATTCCAGATAGGAAAGTGAAAGACTTGCTGTATTAGCTACCAATCCACATGGAGTGTTTCTTCTTAAGCATTGTGAATAGTAGCTTAGCTTTGTATTTCCTAGAATGACTGTGTCTCATCTTCAAATGCAATAATAATGAGAAAAAAAAATAGTTGATTATGAAATCTGCAATTGTGTTATTTACTTCCTTCTGAAGTGATACAGAACAAGCAGGTGATAAATGTGAAATTACTTTACATAATATGGAATTACTTTATGTTTTTAATTAGTTGCTATGATTAGTGAATTTAATTTCTTATATGAGGTTGTAACATTAGTGTCTCTATTTTTCTTTATATGTGTCATTAGTTCTGCTAAATTTTTTTTTCTATTTCCCTCTAGGAAGCAATTCAAGTTTTCTGCAAAGTCTGAGCATTTATGTTATCTGACTGAACTGACATCTTGGTAATATGCCATTTTTTGCGAGCTTCTCTCTACCTTTCTAAATAGATTTGAAGTGGTCTGGCCTTTTTAAAATTTTATTTTAATTAATTTAAAATTTTTTGATAAGTCCTCTTGTTGTAAGAGGTTAACAGTTTTGAAAAGCAAGAGAGGCATTTTGAGTTATTTTTTCCCCAAGACTGGAGGATGTGGGTCCCAATTGTAGAATATGCTGGCTTAAATAAAGTCTGACACTGATAGCTTGCTTACAGACCTTAAAAGTTGCATTGTTTATTGGAGATTCAAGGTGTGCTGAAGCAACCACGTCTGGATCTCTGCATGAGCAGAGGAGAGATCCTTCTCCTGTTTTGTAGCTGCAAGAAGGCAGCATGGGACAGGTCTTCTGGAGAAATTTCCTCCTGTAGGTTTTATCACCTTTTGAGGTGTCTACTGCCCTGGAAAGACCTCTTACCTTTCTGTTGCTTCTTCCAATAGTTTTTATTTTCAGTCCTTCAAACATCTAATGAGAGTGACTTTCTGTCTTCCTTCAAAGGTGTATGAAATTTTCATAAGGTTGATTTGATAGGCTTGCTCTTGATATTCTAGAAGATGCTCATTTTTCCAGTACCAAAATGTGTATGTTTTTTTTTTCCTATTAAGTTGGAAAAGTGTGTATTATTCTTGATATCCTCTTTTTTTTTTTTTTTTTTTTTTTTTTTTGCCTTTTTTTTTTTTTTTTCTTTCCCTAGCACAGTGGGCTTTATTGCTATCTTGTATTATTTTTGCCTTTGTTATATGGTTCAGTCACTGTTCTCATAATATTATACCTGATCTGAATTTTTTTTTTGTTTGTTTGTTGATGATTCTTCTAGTGCCAGCATTTGTCTCTACTGTTGGGAGGAAAAACCGATTTTTTTTTCTAGAAAATAAACTTCTTTGCTTCAGATTGCACTGTTAATTCTTTGGCTCTTCTTCCTTAGAAGTGCTTGGGTTTCTGCCTGTAGTTGTCCTGAACACCTTCTGAATTCCTGCCTAGACAAGCAACTAATTGTATTGATACTGCCTTTTTCAGGATCTGTTTAGGCTAATTTCCCTTTTGTCTGTCATGAATTGTGTTTTTTAGCGTGCCCACTTTCAAATTAACTGGTGGCTTGATGCCATCCCTTGAGCTCTTCTTGAAGAGTGATGTTGAATAGCTCTTCCTCAGCACCACAGAAACTTAACATACCTCATGTAGTAGAATTTAACTGATGACTTCAATGCACTAACTTGAAAGGATTTAATGTGCGTCAGGTTTTCAGAGGGTTAAAAATAATTCTACAATTAGGAAAGTAATTCAGGTTCTGAGTAAATGTTTCTCACCTATTTTGTCTACTGCAAAACCAAGCTGATCTTTTATTCTTCTTTGATGGGAGGTTACTAGATTTATAACTAAATCTCAAATACTATAAAATAATACAGATTTTTTTTTTTCTCCCGTTGTTTAATTCTTAACCAAGAGAACTGGAAATCTTCCTAGTTTTTTTGTATAGGACGATGCAGATTTAAATGGGTGGGTGTTGGATGTGTTTCTCCACAGTTTACAGTGGCACATTTGGTACTTCTCTGCACTGGAATAGTTCAGATTGGTGTGGAAGTTTGCTGTTTGATAGTTCTTTTTCCTTAGTGCCACTTCACTGAACATAGACAAAAAAATATGACAAAATTTAAGATCAAACTTGTTCAGTGTGAAACTTGGGGAACATGTGTCACCATTCAAATTCTGAAATGTTTTCCAAACTGAGCTAGATGAAAACCAATATTTGTGAGCCAGGGACAGTAAAATCACTTTAAGGGAAAACTTTGGTGACTTCTGCAGTATGAGAACCAAATATAGTAGGTGGTAAGCAAGTATAGTCTGCTCTGTTAATTGAGTGGAATGCTGGTCAAGTTCTGGTAACAGTACAGTTTTCAAAATGTTTTGAAAAAAATAATGACAGCTGTGTTTAAAATGTAACAGTTTATTTGTAAAGGCATGGGCTTTGTGTAGTGTTTTCTCTCTAAGCAGTTGGGGTTACTGCAAAAAAGTTAAATGAGCTTTTTCATTTTTGATTTCTATTTTTTTTTCCTTTTAAAGATGATTATGCCATCCTATGCTCAAAAGAAAGGTAAAATGTCTAGTTCAAGTTTCAGCACTACCAACTGCTCCTCTGCCAATGAAATTATTTTAATCTGTAAAGTAGTCTTCAGTTTACTTCTGTTTAAATAAAAGGGATTTCAGAAGGTTTACTTTCCAGCCCCATTGTTGCGAGACAGATTCAAAATTATGCTTTAACGTAGTGACACAAGGCAAACTCTTAAAAGTGTGGTTAAACTGAACAGTTGCTTTGACTTTTGAATTGTCAAAGTACTTTTGAATCTGAAATTACTTTGAGGATTTTCTTCCTCCATATTTTGTGAGTTTTCCATCATTACTAGATTGAATATGATGACTCAAGTTACCAGGATAGTAGGTTTCACCTTAAATCTGAGTCTGTTGGTTGGTAAAGGAACTTACTAGTCGCATACTGGAAGGGCCATTTTCTATGCTCTTGCAGTATTGACTTGCAAAATAGTGTGGGGTTTACGTTGTTTAGTTTCTGTGAAGTGACATAAAAGTTACTGCCACCACTGTGCCCACACATCCATGTACATTGTACAAAAGTCTGAAGCTGGGTTAACACAAGTTAATAATTTATTCCCAAATGATTACAGCTGTGTTATTTTATGATGTGTCTCTTCCACAGACACCAAAGATGCTAACAAGGAAGATTAAGCTTTGGGACATTAATGCCCATATAACCTGTCGTCTGTGCAATGGATACCTGATTGATGCTACTACTGTAACAGAATGCTTGCATACCTGTAAGTAGAAGTATAATTAAGTTAAACTTGCTGACTTTGTTTCTGTTTGTCTCTGGCTTTTTTTTTTTTTTTTTTTAAACTTGATATGCAAGTTTAAAATATATTGTAATGGTTTTCAGTAGAAATTTCAAATTCTGCATCAGCCAAAAAGCATGTGCTTTACTAGACTACTTTTCTTTAACAGATGATTTGCTTTTTTTAACAAAGCAAATGGAGGGAACATTAAAGCTGTGCTGCATAAACTTGAAGCCATATACAATTAGTGGCAATGTAACTATTCAAGAATGCAGTGTGCCTTCTTGCTAAAGGAATGTGGAATACCTAGTTCTCTCTTCTGTGACAGTTGATGTAGCATATGTTCTCCACCTGGAGCCTTTCAGATGTCTCTTTCTCTCCCGTTCCTCTGCAGAAAACAGAGTAGTTTATCAATAAAGAATAAGTATGTTGTATTGTATCCTAGAAATAAGCTTGTATTCCAAAACACTGTGATAAAGTAGTTGTTTGTTGATAAGTTACTCTGTGAATTTCTATTTTCATGTAAGCGAAGGATGACTTAAAACCTTGCAACCCATCCTCTGTTTTAAAATTGTTCTTTCACAATATTTATGTTTATTCTGATAAAGCTAGTAGGTTGTTTAATTAGCCTAATGACTTAGTCCTAAATTTTCTTGGAAGGCAGTTATTTGATGACTGTGTCTTTACCATAAAACAAAAAGTGTCGGCAGACTTCACCTTTTATATCTGACAAAGGGGAAAGGCAATGTTCATGATTTGTCAGTTCATTATGTTTTTTATTATATTCCATTTAGAAGCTCTGTTTATCAGCCTTGATGAATTTGTTGCATTTGTCACACTTCATGTCATTCTGAATATCCTTATAGAATCTAGGACAGTAGAAGGGTTTGTTCTATGATTCCAAGAATCAGAGAATGGTTCTAGAATCTATATTCAATGACCTGGCCATGGGCAGGGTCAGCATCTACTGGATCAGGTTGCTCAATGCCCTATCTAACCTGGCCTTGAATGCTTCCAGTGATGGTATGTCCACAGCTTCTTTGGACAACCTGTGCCACTTACCCTCACAATAAATAATTTCTTTCTAATATCTAATCTGAACCTATCTTCCTTCAGTTTGAAGCCATTCCCCCTTGTCCTGTCAGTACATGCTCCTGTACAAAGTTCATCTCTGTCTCGTAGTGCCCTTAAACTTTTGGAAGACTGCTTTAAGTTCTCTCCAGAGCCTTCTTGCTTCCTGTCTCAATTTCCATAGTATTGTTTTCAGAGCTAGACTTCTACTTAGTTTTGCCCAAATTTCTTTACTGTTGCTAGTTAGAAGACTGTGTCCAAAATGAGTATCATAACAAGTTAACATGGCTGACAGAGAGCTAGAGAGAAGTAATTTTTTATTGTTCTTTAAAAATAGAGCAAAACTTCACAAATGCGCCTCAGCTGATATCATCTGCACCATCTCTTATATTGCTTATGGAGGAAATGCATAGATCCACAGCTCTACAGTGCTTGCTGCAAAAGTCAGGAAATGCACCTTACTACCTTTTCCTGCTGCTTTTTCTGGGGTTTTCTTTGGCTTGTTTCTCCCTTATTTTGACAGTTTATATTTTATGAATACTACTTCACTCTGTGCCCTGTAGAATTAGGTTTTTGAGAAGAGGCACAGAGTCCTGTCTTTTTAACAAAACTTCATACATGTTGGCATTGTTTGTAATGTGTAAGATAATGCTAATAATGTATGTTCCTGGAGAAGCATCCTTGCAAAATGCATTATGAAATTACCCTCTCTGTTGATATAGTGAATTCTCTTCTAAATTATACCAACTTGAAATTTTCATTCTCTTCTACTCAGAACTGCACATTTTTCCCTTTTCAATTTTTCTCTAATTTACTGATCTTTAGCCATTCACTAGTAAATGAAGTTCTTGAGTCCTTTAGTGAAAGTAATTTGGAGGACCAAGGCCAGTCCTCTGGAGGAACAGAGTGAATTTTTGTAAAACTGAATTAGGAGAAAACAATTTTTCTCGTACTTATTTCTCTGCTGTGGTTTTAGTTTGTTGGTGACAGGCCACTGAGTCAATTGCTAAAACTTCATTAGTAGTAACTAAAAAAAAAGTCAAGTCTTTTTTTGGTTTGTATCTGTTCCTTGATTAAACTTCTAGGCTAGATGATGTATGCAGGTCTTGTTAAACTTTGTGTTTATAATGTCAGTATTTTAGTGTTTACATGTGAAAGCTGTCCTATGTTATGAAAGGGAAAAATCTAACATTATGAAACATATCATCTTCTGAGTGCATCGGGATGATAAAAGGTCAGCTTGAACTAGATACAGAAATGAAAAAAGTCAAGAGAAGTGAAACTGTTAAAATAAAAAAGTGAGCATTAGCCTTGCCTGTTCCTGTTCTGATTAAACCTCTCTGATGTGTTTAAGAAATCAGAAAATGTACAGCTAAGTTCATGTCCACAATCAGTGCCTGTATGTCTGGGTGAACAGAGATCAGAGATACTGGAAAACCAAAGTAATGGAAAATTCTAGAAATAATATTGTTTCAGACCGTAGAATGATTTCCATGTTGCATGTCCATTATTCCAAAGACTTCTAGTTTCAGGAGAGTTTATAATCTCAACCTGACCCCAGAAAAAAAGAACCTAGATGGCTGCAGCACCCTTCATAAGCCATCTAGTGGCATTTATTTGGATGCTGTGCTCAGACTGAAACCTGCCAGAACATTAGCTAACTTGTGACCAGTTCATTTTAGGAGGAGTTAGTGTTTACCAAGCTGGAAGATGTACTAAAATGGGATGATGTTTTAGATATCAGAGATTACTTTGGGTTGGAAGGTAACTATTAAAGTCACATAATACGTCACCACTGCAATGGGCAGGGGCATCTTCAGCAGCATCAAGATGCTCAGAGTCCTTGGTGAAGCTGTGCTGACTGTCTGGAGTCATCTCACTGTCCTCCGCATGCCTCAGCACAGCTTCTAGTAGTCCATGATCTTCCCAGGCACAGAGTTAAGGCAGACATGTTGTTGATTTCCAGGTCTCATCCTTTCTACCACTTCCTGAAAGTGGAAGCAGTGTTTCCCTTTTTTCTAGTCACAGGAGATTTCACCGGACTGTCAGGACTATCGTTGTTAGTGGCTTGTCAGCTACATCAGCCAATTTGAGACCCTGGGACACATCTCATCAGGTCCCAGAGACTTACGTGTATTCACATTGCCAGGTGCTCATAAATCTGATCTTTTCACACAGTAGAAGGGATTTTACACCCCCAGTGCCTCCTTTGCGGTTCATCTGTGCGAGAGCTGTGGGAGGAGAAATTGCTAGAGAAGGCTGAGGCAGAAAAATTGAATACCTCTGGTTTGCCAGTCAGGTTTATCTGGGGGTTACACATTGTTTGGCCTTCTTTTTGTGACATACTTAAAGAAACCCTTTATAATGCTTCATATCCCTCGCCAAGTTCAGCTTCAGCTGTGATTTGACCTTTATGACACTTCCCTGCCCAAGTTAGCAACATCCCTATACTCTTTCCAGGATACCTGTCCCTGCTTTCTCTGTCAGATTCTTTCATTGGCTTGGTAGGAATGGAGTTTGTCTTCACTTTTGCAAATGGATCTACTGTTCTGGCACTCTGCTGGAACAAGCTGCTGTGCAAGATGAGGCTTTGTCTTACCTCTGCCACCAACAATGCTGTCATCCTAGGTGTGTAAATGCAAAACACAGTGCAAAGTTATAGTACTTCATTTACTGTTACTTTTTTTTTTCAGTCAATGGGTGTTTATGTAATTGTACTGTCTTCTTGTTTGAGAGGTAGATGGCACTAGAGTTACAGAAATCCTTTTTTTTTGTGTGGTAAGTGCATTAATACCAAGACTACATGAACTAGTGCACTTCAAGAAAACCTCCCTTCTTTTCTCCATACCTTCTCAGCTATAACTTCAAGTGAGTGAAGATATCATGCAGTAGTGTATTTTATGAGTACTGTTTTGGGGCACTTTTGAGAGGAGAGTGGTGTATAGTTTACTTTGAAAGTTTACTTGTTCTGTATGTGCCATGGTTAAAGCAAATATGTTTTGTTTAGTATCTTAATGGCAAATCGTTCCTGTAATGTCATCCATGCAAGCTGAATGTTGACCTGCTAGAAATCGTTCTAGTAAATTTTGAAGTGAGATTTTGTGTTGTGTACTGTGTTAAGGTTTTTTGTAGGTGTGGTGCTTTAATTCTAGTGCATCCTTTCCCTATATCAGGAAAATTTATGAAAGGTACTGGAAACTGTATTCTGCAAGATAGGACATCATGCACTTACGATGTAGAAAAATGAACTTCATGTAAATTTCAGTAATATGCATTCTGTGACTGTATAAAAGCAGACTTCTGTTATGCTACTTTTATTCCTTTTTAATTGTGAATGTCTTTTTTATTAGTCTGTAGAAGCTGCCTAGTGAAATATTTGGAGGAAAACAACACCTGTCCAACGTGTAGGATTGTTATACATCAGAGCCACCCATTACAGTATATTGGGTAAGTATAAAAGCAGAAGTGCAGGTAGCTTCACTCTAAACTGGTTCATCCCCTTTGATACACTACGGCTTTTCTCAAAATTTTCATTCATGCTTATCAGCATGTTAAACATTGAAAAAGAGGTATGAAGGAGATTGAGGAGGAGATACAGCATGAAACTTCTGCTATGAGTTTGCAAGGCCTTAGCGTGGCAGCTTATTCCAGACTTAAAACAAGTAAACTATACACTCAAATGTTTAATTTCTGCATGACTTTTAATGGGATATAGTAATTCCTCATTTTGTATGCTTGGGTTGTAAAAATTATATATATGAAACATTTGTAGGAATTACACTTTTACAAAATTATCAAAAATTAGTCTCAGTTGAACAGTGCTTTTCAGTGTCTGACAGTAATAAGAGAAATAATTTTCAGCTTTGTTGTTCAGTTAATCTTTCAAAGGTCTGCTTAGGTCGTAGGAGCAGATAAGAATGTCATAGAATCATCACAAAATGGTTTGAGTTGGAAGGGACCTTTGAAATCATCTAGTTCCAACTGCCCTGCCGTGGGCAGGGACACCTTTTACCTAGACCTGGTTTCTCAAAGTTTCATGAAGCCTGGACTGAACCTTGCCCCCTCCATCTTTCTGGGGATGGGGTATGCACAATGTCTCTAGGCAGCCTCTTCCAGCCTTGGCACTCTCACTGAAGAATTTCTACCTATTATCTAACCTATATTTGTTATCTTTTAGTTTAAAACCATTCCCCCTTGTCCTATGACTACATGGTTGTGTAAAAAGTCTATTTCCAGCCTTCTGTTGGGTTCCCTGCATGTACTGGAAGGCTGCTCTGAGGTTTCCCTGTAGTCTTCCTTCTCCAGGCTCTACAGGTCCAACTCTATCAGCTTGTCTTCACAGGAGAGGAAGTCCATCCCTCTCGTCATTTTCATGGCTCTCCTCTGGACTCCATCAGGTCCACATCCTTCTTATTTGGGGGCCCCAGCGCTGAAAGCAGTGGTCTAGGTGGGGGCTTTTGCAGGCAGAGTAGAAGGACAGAATCACCTGCTTCGATCTGCTGCTGAGTTTCTTTTGATGCAGCCCAGGTTGCAGTTTGCTTTCTGGACTGCAAGTGCACATTGCCAGGTCATGCTGATGTTTCCATTTGCTAATATCCCCAAGGCCTTCCCCTCAGAGCTGCTCTCAGTCACTTTTCTGCCCAGCCTACATTTCTGCTTGGGATTACCCCAGTCCAGGTGCAGGAGCTTGTACATGGCCTTGTTGAACTTTGAGCATCACATGGACCCACCTCCTTCCAGCATTCCTTCCTTCCAGCATGTCCACTGCCCCACACAGCTTGGTGTTGCTGGCAGATTTAATGAGGGTGCCCTCAATCCCACTGTTGTTGACAAAGATGTTAAACAGCATTGATCCCAGTACTGACCCCTGTGGGACCTTGTGACTGGTCTCATCTTGGATATTAACTGTTAATCACTTTTGAGTGCAACCATCCAGCCAATTCCTTATCCACTAAGTGCTGCATTAGTCAAATCCCTATCTCTCCAGTTAGGGACAAGGGTGTTGTGCAGGACAGCATCAAATGCTTTGCATGAGTCCAGGTAGATGCCATGACTCACCCTTTCCTCATCCACTGTCTCTGTAACCTCATCAGAGAAGACCACCAAATCTGTCAGACGTGGTTTGCTCATAGTGAAAGCCATGTTGGCTGTTGCCAATTTCCTCCTTATTTTCCAGCTGCACTTGCATAGTCAAATTGCATGTTCACTAAGTATTTTTGTTGTGTTTTTTCCTCTTTTTCTTGCCAGAAAAGACATTCTCTTTCTTTTCCTCCTGCTGATGAAAATACATTGTAATAATGTGTCTGCATTAGCTGTTGCATATCAAGTAGTGTTTTGTCTTCCATTATGAAGAGCTTGTGTTTGTTCATAGCATTTTTCAATGTGCCTTTCTCACTTCTATAACAATTTCTGAAGCAATGGTTTTAGCAAATGAGTCTGATTGCATTTTTACAGAAAACTGTCCATGTTCTACACACACTTGCATTGCTCAAGCTCATCCTCATTCAGGAGCCTGAAACTAAGTATGCTGTCTCCACATTAATACAATACACTCATACTCCTGTGTGAGTGTATAATTAAAGGGACAAGTACATGCAAATAGGAAAGAATGAATAAATGACATGTAAGACAACATGTTTGTCTTGGTTCAAAAACCTGGGTCTTTTGCTAAAAGGGCCAGGAAACAACATGATATTGAGAGCAGCTAAAAGGCAATTTGTTATTTGTTTTTTATTGTTGAATACACTTCAACTTAAGTAAGCTGCTTAAACTAGTTTTGAACTATTGCCCCATCGAAACTGAAACAGACTTTGTCCAGCCTACTTTTGGATATATTTATTTACCTTTTTAAAAAAAAAATTGACAGTCCGGAGTTTCACAAGGTGTTTGAAAATGGAGATTTAAACTCCTATTCATCTCTGTATGTCTGAAAAATAGGTAAACCAAATGTATCTCCTTGTTTACATTTCTAAATACTGTTAAATAGCATCATAGAATCTTAAATTCTTTGGGACCTTAAAGATCATCTGTATGATCTAGTTCCAGCCCCCAAATTGTCACCTCTGATTTAATGGTGATGTCTTACATATTTTTGTTCAAGTAATTTTGGCAATGTGTTTGCAGTCCATAAATGACACTTCATAATCTCAGCCTGTACAAATGGGATTGCTGCTGGTGAAAATGACATGAATTTAGGATAAGTGATATTCTGAATCTTGTTGTAGTGCTACTTAGAATATTGTAATTACTGTTTGTAAATGTCTTGGTTTGTCACCATTTCTGTACTTGCTTACTGATCTCTACTGCTGTGAAATGCTCATGTCAGGTGATGAGAAGCCTGAGACTACTTTAGTAAGCCTTTTCTGTTCAATTCAGGACTTGGTACTGCAGACACTTTTGAGGTAATGGCATTGCAGCAAGGCAGACACTTGAAATGCTTCTTATACTATTTCTTAATGGGAATTTAATATAATATTTAATTTCTTTGAGAACATAGCTTATTTTAGATTAGAACTGGATTTTTCTAGGTGAGCTGGGATTAAAGTTTAGAATCTTAACTGGCCCTACTGTTCTACTTGCAGTGGGATTATTACCTTTTTTTCATTTGAGCCATACTACCACTACAGGCTACTTAGCTACATAATGTTTCTCATAGTTACTTTGTCCTTTTAAGAACAAAGTAAAATTTAGTTTGTTGTGGTCTTTTTGTGTGAACTGGTCTCATGCATTTTAGAAGAATCCTAGTAAAGACAACTAATCTAGAAATGTGAGAAATTAGTCTATAGGAGTGAGAAACAAGCTATTATTGATTCTGTTGTAATAAAAATGAGTTTACCTCTAAGTTGGAAAATAATTTTAGATTATTACTGACATACTTGTCTTGGTGCAGAAAGACATACACAGTGGGGTGAATTCTTCTACAACCTAGTCTTTCTCAAACTTTCATTTGTTTTCTGTCTTAGCTTGTACTTTTTCATAATTTCTTTTGTGTTGTTGTTCTTTCTGGTTTGATAGAAATACTGATTGAGAAGTAAAATTCTTCTTAGGTGAATTTTGAGATTTTTGCATATGGTTAGTACTGGAACTTTTTAAAGAGAAATGTTTTCAATCAAGATCATGAACTTAAGCTTTTGATTTTGTTTTTGGTTTTTTGTTGTTTTTTTTCCTTGCTAGTCATGACAGAACAATGCAAGATATTGTTTACAAACTTGTGCCAGGCCTCCAAGAAGGTAAGTTGTGGTGTGACCTTTTTAAAGGTCAGTTTGTACTTCTTTGACATTAAAAGAAAAAAGAAAGTCTCAAGTGATGAAAAAAGGGGTGGGAGAAAAAATAGAGATAACTAGACTCTTTCACTTGTATAATTTTTAGCAATTAATTTAATTTCATACCTGTACTAGCAGCAACTGAGTGTGGGGGTGGTGGGAGACAACATGGGATGTTTCTTCCAAAAGCAGTATTATGTAAAGCAAAATAGTCATTCAGCTTTTGAATGTTGCCATACCATAACTCTAATTTGTTTTTGTTAAACTGAATACCTGTTGTGCAAGCTTTCCAGAATTCTCAGAGGTAAAATGCAATTTTAAAATGCTTTTAGTTTCTGCTGTTTTGAGAGTTCTTTTTTATTAGAGAACTTTCAATTACTGTTTTCATAATCCTCTTTGACATGAGATCTGTTTAACTAAAGAAATACTTTATAAATATTGCTCAGTGGTTTTTTTTGGTCTTAATGTATGTTGAAGCTTTCATTTAAATAGAGTATTTTACTCTGTTGAAACTTCTTTTTAACCAGAGCATTTTCAAATATCAATGTGATTAAATAGATACTTTAAAAATTATTTCTGGGATATTGAAAATCAGAACTATGAATAAAAATTCAAAACCAATGTTTTGACTGAAATACGGTCATATTCAAAATGGGGGATATGCAAAATTAGCTATTAGTATTTTAAATTCCATCTCATTCTAGCAGTAATAGTATAGTAGTAATTACACAGATAATGTTATGCTTTTGTAATTCTGAAAAATAAGATTAGGCATAACGTGATGTGATAGGAGAGATAGAAGATAGTAAATAATGACACCACCGCCACTTGTTGGCAATCCTTAAGTGGGAAGGGATTTGGAATAACTTCATAAATATTGCATTAGAACTTTATTACAGGGATTAATATTTGCAATTTTAAACAGCGGAAATGAAAAAGCAAAGGGAGTTTTATCACAAACTGGGCATGGAAGTTCCAGGGGACATCAAAGGGGAGACATGTTCTACAAAACAGCACCTAGATTCTCATCGAAATGGTAAATAGTCCTTTATTTATTCTGTCTTTGGTGGGTGACATATAGTAAATTGATAGACAGATCTGTTGGAAGTATGTGCCCAGTGGGTATATTACAATCATAATTGTTTCCTAACAGCAAGGAATAGAATCAACCTAGGATTGTTGCCTTGTCCCTTATTTGTGCACAGAATTCTTGGTTTTAGCTGTTAATAGCATGTTGCTTGTGGCAAAGTTGTCTCCATAGTAGTGCCTACATGGGGACTGTGAAATTACCCAGCTTCTGGGCTGCTAGCAGTTGAACTCCATAGGTGTTCTCCTCTTTCATGTCACGGGCTGTTGGCTGCAAGTGTTGCTTGAGCCGATAAGCACAATTTGGGAATAGCAAAGCTTATTCTATACTGCGGTCCTGAAATGTGCTGTTTTAATTGTATTAGCACTATAAGCTAATAATGCTGTTGAGTATATCTGGGATTTATATATGAAAATAATATATATGTACCCCATATATCTGGTTTTTTTTTTAATCTAAGGTGAAACTAAAGCAGATGAAAATATAAATAAAGAAACTTCAGAGGAAAAACAGGAAGAGGATAATGACTACCACCGAAGTGATGAACAGGTGGGATCGTAGGGCATGCTCTAGTTTTATCTTGTGTTTTAGCTGTTGTGTTTTGGTAAGATAACTTTGATAATCTAACTGAGAAGAAAATAAGCTTCTTTCAAGCTACTTTTTCTGTTCTCTGATACAAACATGATGCAGTTTGGGCAATGCTTTTTTGTAAGCATGAAGTTTACCTTTGGGTTTTGGCAGGAGAATACATTCAAATCTTAATGCAAATGTCTTTATAGTTCTGACTGTTTATGAGTCTTCAAAGTTTGCTGTCAAAACAAATTTGTGTAATTTTCTACCTTCTACAGGAATGTACCCCAGTGTTACCATGATACATTAAACTGAATGTGTATTGATAATTATGAATTAACCCTCTGGCACTGTTAACACATTCAGTGCAGTTAGCTGGGTGCAGTTGCAATGAGAGCTGCAGGCTGAGCTCTGGATGGGAGCCCGAGGCAAGAGGCCATGAACTGCCAACCCTTGGCACAGGAAGGGGCACAGGGACCTGTGGCATCAGCCTGGGGACTGGACACTGAGACACAGCAGGAGCTGAGACCCCCAGACTTTGGTGCTGCTAGGGTATGAAAGCCCAGGGGTTCCTTTGTTCAGGGCCCCTTCTCAGAGGACTTGGATGTCTCAGACTCTGCTATGGGAAACCTGGGGTTGAGTTGGTAAGGAATCCTGGTCCAAATGTGAGTGTGAGGGGTGTAGCTGTGAAGGGGCTTCAGTCCCAGCTTAGGTGGTGCAAATGTGACTGCCAGAGTGGCTCCTGCATGGTCAGACAGCAAAGCTTCCTCGACAGCACTCTTACTAACTGGTCAACAGGTGATTGAACATGAGCCAGCAGTGTGCCAGGGGGCAAGAAGGCCAATGGCATCCTGGCCTGGATCAGGAATAGTGTGTCCAGCAGGCCCAGGGAGGTTATCCTTCCCCTGGTGAGCACTGGTGAGGCCACACCTTGAGTCCTGTGTCGTTCTGGGCCCCTCAGTTTAGGAAGGACATTGAGACGCTCATACATGTCCATAGGAGGGCAACAAGGCTGGTGAATGGTCTGGGACACAGGTGCTGTGAGGAGCAGCTGAGGGAACTGGGGTTGTTTAGACTGGCTCAGGGGTGACCTTATCAACCTCTGTAACTCCCTGAAAGGCGGGTACAGCCACGTGGGGGCCAGCTGGGCTTCTCCCAGCAACCAGCAACAGAAGAGGACAAAGCCTTAAGCTGTACCAGGGAGGTTTAGGCTGGACATTAGGAAAAATTCTTCAGAGAAAAGGTGATTTTGGGCATTGGAATAGGCTTTCCAGGGAGATGGTAGAGTCACTGTCCCTGGAGGTGTTTAAGGAAAGACTGGACATGGCTGTTAGTGCTGTGGTCTGGTTGACAAGGTGGTGTTTGGTCACAGGTTGGACTCAATGATCTCAGAGTTTTTTTTCAACCGAAATAATTCTGTGATTCTGTGATTGGTGTTTAAGGCAACTGTGCTCTTTAAATCTCTTACAATATTTTATACAGCTCTGGTCATCAAGGGTGTACAGGTTCTCAGAACCCCTGAGAGCTGTCAGCAGGGAGCAAAACCTGTATCTAGACTTCACTAGAGACCACCTGCACAGGTGATACTTGACCAGCATACCCAGCTGATGTGCACAGTGCCTGATACTGGATTTTTGTCCACGGTGTTTACTTTGTAAGAGAACCACCCCCTTTAAAAACTGCATTCAATTAATGACATTTTCTGATTCAAGAGTGAACTTGAAACAAAAAAAGACAGAAAAAAGGAAAAATGCAGCCTCCAGCCTCGAGATTTAATTAAAAATCCAGGACCTCAAAGATATTGAACCACTTAATTCCCAATATCTGTTTATCACAGACAGGTGATAAACACCTACAAGTTTTCAGCTGCCAGAGATCATCATGAGAGCTGCCGGCTGAGCTCTGGATGGGAGCCCAAGGCAAGAGGCCATGAACTGCCAACCCTTGGCACAGGAAGGGGCACAGGGACCTGTGGCATCAGCCTGGGGACTGGACACTGAGACACAGCAGGAGCTGAGACCCCCAGACTTTGGTGCTGCTAGGGTATGAAAGCCCAGGGGTTCCTTTGTTCAGGGCCCCTTCTCAGAGGACTTGGATGTCTCAGACTCTGCTATGGGAAACCTGGGGTTGAGTTGGTAAGGAATCCTGGTCCAAATGTGAGTGTGAGGGGTGTAGCTGTGAAGGGGCTTCAGTCCCAGCTTAGGTGGTGCAAATGTGACTGCCAGAGTGGCTCCTGCATGGTCAGACAGGGAAGCTTCCTTGACAGCACTCTTACTAACTTATTACGAATTTTGTTTTCAGCCTTTAATACTAAGTCAGTGTTAGCCCTGTATCATAAAAATATCATAAAAGCAGGGAAGCCCACTGTTAAGTTTTAAACACAAATCTTGTTTGAAGGTGAAAATTCCCTTTGGTATAAACAAGCCATGCCTTTTAAGTTTTCTGGTTATGCGTGTCCAGAGTAACTTTAGATTGGGTTAATTTTCTTCTCAGTTGCCATGTAAGGGAACTTTCAAAGGGATTATACTTGTTACTAGATCCTCCTAGTGCAATACAAGTGCATACCATCACAAAGAATTTAGACTGTAATGAATAGCTGGAAGGGAAAAAAAGTGAGCATTTGAAATATTTGTCACAGCATTTGTATTCATTCTTTCTAAACATGTTAAAATTAAACTAGATTAGCAGTTGTATTGGCAGTTAGAAATTATGTTAGAAGCAATCATTAAGAATTGACAATGGTTTTCTTACTGCTTTCTTGCTCTAGCTTTTATCATGTGGTCCTCTTAAGCTATTGACCGCCTATGAATTTGGACTGAAGTAGCCTCCTTGTTCCAACATCAAAAATTACTACTTGAAGATTTTTCTCTTATTACTTACCACTCAACTTATGAAATCTTAGAAAATGTGGTTTTCTTAATAGGTGTTTCAGTTTAAAGAACACTAGTGCTGTACTTCACTGTATTGGATTAATAAAAACTGCATGTGGAATACATAGCGGACTGCAGAAAATTGTTGCAGCCAACTCCTGATTTTTTGCCTTTTCCTGAAGGTAAGCATCTGCTTGGAGTGCAATAGCAGCAAACTGCGTGGATTGAAACGAAAATGGATTCGTTGTTCTGCACAAGCAACAGTCTTGCATCTAAAGAAGTTTATTGCCAAAAAACTCAACCTTTCTTCTTTTAATGAGGTAATATTTTAATTTTTAAAATAAGTTTACAGATACAAAAATTTGAAAGGGGTGGGTTTGTTCCTTTGCAAAAGGATGTCTTTTATTTTGATTTTATTTTCAGAAAACAGAAGCATACACTGCTTCTTGAATTATATATTATATAGCAATTTTCTTGTCCTTTCTTGGGTCTGTACAGGACTTTCCACTTAGTTTGCACTGCATTTTTTAATGTGCATTTACAAATAGTTGAACAAAAAGGCTTGGTTATGTGCTTCCACGTGTGTTGAAATGGACTCTGGCAAGATGATTTGTTTGATAGATTGTAGTTGAGTTCATCTCCAGCATTTTAGGAAGTTTGCACTCTGCAGCGGCCAGACAGAAACCAACACTTCAACAGTGAAGCCCAGCTGAAAAGAAAGCAGCACAAATACATTATTCTTTTCTGTGTCTTAGTGAAGCTCAGTCTGAAGCTGCTGCCTACACAGCCAGAGTGTTATCAGATGTCTACTTTTCCTTGTCTTTGCAGGGTGTCATGGGAAGAATTTAAGTTGAAAGGTACAGGAGGAAAGGCAATACTTTGAATTTCTCCTAGACCAGATTCAAAAATGAAAAGTGGCAAACTATGAATGCAGCCCCTATTTATCACTTGGCTGGATCTTGGTTACAGTTTCTGGGCATCTCTCTTGATTCTCAGCTTGACATCTCTCAATTCCATGTTATGACACTGATTCACTGAATTTCATTAAGACATTTCATACAAATGAAATCATCTGCTTTCCAGTCCAGTGTGTCAACACCTTGCTGCTCAAACTTGTCAACAGCCAATTTGCATCTCTTATCACTTTTCCTTCATAGCTCCTGTACACTTCAAACACTCTCTCCCTCTTACGGTTCAAGTATACCCCCAGACTCTGCCAGTTTTCCTAAAACAAAACTATGTATCCCATCTTGTTCTCAGCTGGCTCAGAGGTGGTTGACTCCTGGATTTAGCCCAGCAGCTTCATAGCTACAAGGATTGTTCAAAAGGGTTTATTTTTAATATGTTCTTTTGGTATATGCATGTGTAAGCCCTCCAATGCAGTGTGCTAAGATGTAACTTAAAAATCTACTTGGTTTCTACTGAAGGAAAAGCTTTTCTGGAGTACTGTTTATTTCCTTGTTATCCCTTTCTGCCTTTTTAAAAATTACATAAATGATCGTGTAATCATTGTACCAATACCAGGTAACATAGAAGGAGAATTTGAGCATGTGGTTACTTGGTTGCTTGATACAGACTATTCGAGGTTTGAGTTACTGCCATTTAAGTGGACTGCATGCACATACAGGCCTTTTTGGGCTATGGGGTAAAAACATTGTAACATAAGCCACCTTCGTGGGACTTGCTGTTTTCATACATGTTCCCTGGTTTTAGTTCATGTTCAGATATTGTAGTTCAGCTGATTTAGTAGTCATATGATCCTCATGCTTTTATGTTGAGATCCTCCCTGTTTCTAATATCAAGGTTTTTTGAAACAGTGATAGAAAACAAAAAATACCTGTTGAGTATCTGTAAAATTCCTGGAAATGTCACATATAAGTATATGGCAGATGGTGTTTTTTGAAAAAACTGCTGCCCTTGTAACAATGCCACCTGACTGGTGTTAGGAAAAAAAAAAAAAAAAAACATAGTATGCGAAATAACAGCTCTCTTTGAGATTTCTGTCCCATTGTTCATGTATTCAACCTTTTTAAAGCATGTAAAGCTTTCAGGAAAGGACCTTAGTACTGCTTGGGAAGATAAATCAAACATTAAATTCTTATCATGCTATATTTCTTAGGCAGGTGTTGACATGGTCTTTCAGTACTTTATGTTGAGAGCAGGTATTATCTTTTCTTTCCTGGTATGATTTTTGTCTGCAGGGCAACTTCAGGATTACGAGTACCAGTGTCTTCAGAGAAAAAAAAGTCTTGTATTATGTGAAATGTGTTATGTGAAATACGTTGTTTGGTGCGTTGGGTCCCAGTGAATTAACTGTCGCCTTTATTTTGTCAGCTGGACATATTATGCAATGAAGAGATTCTTGGCAAGGACCATACGCTCAAGTTTGTAGTTGTTACTAGATGGAGATTTAAGGTACGACACAATGATTCAATGTAAATTATGAAGTGGCCAAATAAAATGTTTATAAAATAGCGATAATTTGGAATATACTGTGGTATACCTTTATGGAAAGTACTTTTATAAGTATCTACTACAATATCCTTAGACATATTTATTTGTTTCCAGTAAATTAAGGAAAAGAGAATTAAGTATTCATTGCAAGAGAAAAGGGAACACTGTATTAGTTGTCAAATTGTTATCAAGTCTGTCAGAGGAAGCAGAAGCTACAAAAAGTATTACTTTTAACCCCTTCAGGCAGTAAGAATGAATAGCAAAACTGAACACTTGGGAGGGAAGTCAACACTGAACATAGTATATGTATACATGGAGTTATTGGAACAAGTTTGTATTTGTAATGCAAAAGCAACACATTCTGAGCATACCATGTACACTGAGGTGAAATCACTCGGTGGCTGTGGATGCATATCTAGAAGAGGTCCATGTGGAAGCAGAGAAGCATTTTTCTGTCTTGGAATTAAAAAATAATTGACCTGTATAAGAGTCACAGGATAAAATCAGTGGTCAGTGTTAAAAATGCAGAGATGTCACAAGTGGAATCCTGCTGAAATCTATTTCATATGGTGTTTCTGAATTACCTGGAAATGGATTTGAGTAGTTCATTACCAGTGCAGTGACATCATTGTCATTAATTAGGTTAGTGACAGATTGATGATAAAATATTGGATGAAGTCTTTACAGTTCTCAGTGACAGGTGATTAACAAACATCTGAAGCTGAATGTAGGTATAGATAAAAGGATACAATGCAAATGTTAGGGTTTTGTGGTGTAGTTGAGTGAACCAGACATGAGCATCAAATTGATGTACATCTGTTCAGTCCACTTTTCACCCGTGAGAGATCTGTGTAATTGTGAGTCATGTAGAAAGCAGAACTGTAAACTGCCCTCCCAAGTGAAAGAAGTGGTGGGTGTAAAATGGAACTGAGATGCAGAAGGTCCAGAACAAACAAGCTGAAGTAACTGTTTTTATAAGACACAGAAGTCCATGGTGCAGGATGTTGTGGTGTGGATGTTTGCCTATTTGTAAAAAAATCAACAGATGCTTTCACAGAGGACGAATCAAGTGAGAGCTATTAAATGTGAAGTACCACATACTCTAATGCTGCTTTCTAGACATCCCTTACTTCAGGGAGTTTTCCAAGATAAACAGATCTGCTCCTGAGATAAAGGGGAAAGGAGTCTTTATCACTTGTTTGAGCCCCACAGATGAAGTTGCACCTTGTCTTTGTCTTGGTGAATTTTTGACAGATCAGATAGCTGCTCTTGTATTTAATTGAAGCTTTAATTTACGACGCAGAAATTTTTCCTTCTTAGCAGATTAGTTCTGGATTTGTTTCTTAACTTACTGGTATTTCTGTCTTGCAGAAAGCACCTCTACTGCTACATTATAGACCCAAAATGGACTTGCTGTAAGGGAACTTTATTGTCCTTCTGGACAGAGCTTTTTGCAGAGACTATCATCTGGCACCTTCTTAGTGCGTCACTAATCACATGACACAAACCAGCTGAATAATTTTGGAAGACTGGAGGGCTTTCATAGTGGGCTGTCCTGAATATTTCTTCTAGGGATGTGTTACCTAGACTTCTGGGCAGACAATATTTATACTTTTTTTGTATGGAAGAAAGAAGTTTCAACTCAGCAAGACACTACCAGCATTAAGTTTACAGATACTGAAAACACTTCACAGTTCCATGTAGCTCAGCCTGATTTGTCTCTTACGGTTACACACAGAAAAAAAGTTTGAGTGTTGTGGGGTGATATAAATATGTTGCTTTTGACACCAAGTTGCATTTAGTTACTTCTTGCATTCTAAATCTTTAAAAACTATATTTTTGCAAAGTGTTATTGTCTTATATAGTATGCCTGATTGCATTGGCTTTATTCAAGTTATTCTGTAGAGCATTGAACATACCTGATAATACAGTGACTGGTGATAATTTATTATGCTGCATTGAAAACTTAAGAAGATCTGGGAAACCAGTAAATTTGTCATTTTTGCCCAGTTATTGCTCTCCCTCACCTTGTGTTTTAATAAAGTTTTGATACTTCTGTATACGTGTTAATTTGGTAAGACTAATAGAAATAATTTCATTTGATTTTAATGTGCTGTGATCTATATTTTGCTATGGTATAAATTGCACCACGTAATGACAAATACTCACAAGTGCTAGATTTGTGAATTTCTTAAAAAATAAACATTTCTTATGTATTTGTGGCTTGCAGAAATCAGTTTTTAATTTAGAGAGAATTTGGTATCACTAGCTATTGAAAAAGTGGCTCTTGGACAAGTATTGCGGATTTTTCATTTCACTGATTAAAACTTATGGGCAGCTTTAAATTTCTTCAGCTGTTTTCTTATGAAACCATGGCATTTTCCTTGCTGCAATTCCTAACTTACATGGGATGGGGAGGAAGGGGGAGTCAAGACAAGATTATTTTAGCACCTTTTGGCCTTAACTAGTAATTTTGCTTGCATCAGCCCTAATGGATGCAAGGTAATACACATTAATGTATGTATGGGTACATACATCTGTATACACATATAACTATTTATGTTATAGAAAGAACCCTCAATGGCACTTAGCAGGGCTCACTGCACTTTTTGTAAGGCTTTTGGAAATAATTGGCTTTTAAAAAACTGTAGTTGAAAGTGATTTCTGCAAGCTATATCCACTGTGTATCGTCCATAGTACAATTGTAAGAACATTTGTCTGACGCAGGTGTGAAGTCACTGAAAACAGTGTATGCCCTATTATTGCCAGCTGGAAATAGTTAACCTGATTTTTGGAAGGAATTTTTTCCTATCAGCTGAAAATGCTAGTTGCTATTCCTATTATTAAACCCTGTTATTTTTTGATAAATTGTCTTTGGATAAGTAGCTCTGCTTCCTCTTGCTGTGCTCTTTTGCTTCTTCTGCTAGAAAGTGCTACTTAGTAACCGGAAGCTGATACTGCAAGAGATTTATCTAAGCATTTTAAATATTCTTCCTCTTGAGTTTTCAAAGCCCTACATTCCTCAGCACATTTCCCTTAATGTCCCTCTCGTGGCTTCAGTTCTCCTTTCCCAGCTCAGCTGCTGCTTGTGCTTACCTTTGACAACAGGGCTCCTTATTTTTGATTACAGTCAGAGATGTGAGTAGCAAGGAAATGAAAAAGAAATTATGTGAGCAGAGAATGAAAGGGAGCCTCCTGAATTGTGGAGATGGAAAGGAGAGCCACACAATGGCCAGAACATGCTGCTGTCCTTGCGGGTGAAAGTCTTAAGATAGCTGCATTTGAATGTTTAGGTTACCCAGAACTCCACATCTGGTTCTTGTGTGGTGTTTGTGTGCATGTCTGTGATTCATGGAATCAAATTTGGCTCTGATTTTGTCTTGCTGTTTGTGTATTTTCAGCTTTTTTTTCTGTCTTTAGCATTACTTGATCTGGCAGAAAAGAGCAAACAAGATCATGTGTCTACCATTTTTAAAACTTTCCATGAAAGCAGTCAATGCAGGTGGTGTGGATGTGTACACAAGCTGACATAATGGGCCTCTCTGGAGCTGTTTCTTACGTGATTGTTACTGTTCTAGTGTAAATAAGAGGCTGGCTTTGCCACTGAGGCCCTGAGAATGTGGACAGGACTGTAAGGGTCCCGGCTCTGTGCACCCATAGTATACACACAGTGGCTGTACCTGATGTAGACATTGACCTAAAGCTGCCAGACAGCATTCTGATTAACCACCTTAATCAGAATATATATATATATATATATATATATATGTACACACACAAACAAAAATATATATACATATACACATATAAATGAGATCTGTCTACCTCAAGTGTGTGTACTGCAGGAAACTTTTGTATGACTAGATACTGACGCAGTGCTGTTAAAGTACATTGGGATTTCATTTCTTCCTTATGTACTTGAGCAACTGAGAAATTAATTACGAATACACGAATTCAGAAGCCTTTCAAATCTATCTCTTGCTGTAACAACTTACAATACAAAACTCATAAGTTTATAACCATCCTTAGAATCACTTGAATTTGTTATGGTGCTATCAGTATATAGAAAACTCTGTTTATATGGATACATAAATTCAAGCCAGTATTAATACCTATAGCTGGGGTTTTTGCTTGTAATTGTGTGTAACTGCTTTTGCAATGTGTTTAATCTGATAAAACCACATCAGTTTAAAAAAAAAAAAAACACAAAAAAACCAAAAAAAAAAAAAAAAAAAACAAAAAAAACAAAAAAAACCGAACGAAGAAAACCAAACAAAAAACCCCCAAACCAACAGGAAACTCCAAAATTACTCAGTTGTTTTTCTAAATCACATGTGATAACATCTTCACTACAAAAATTGCCCTCGGAAGTGGTGTGACTCTGTCTGTACCATATGTTAGTCTCACTAAAAGACTACAGTGTAGAGCGAGGTCTTCTTTGGGTCAGAGCCTTGTTGAATTTCTGTGACACTTAAGAGACAATTTATATCAAGATTATATTGGGTAAAGTAACCCTGATACTGTTGAAAGTTGGACTAAAATTTGGATTCGACCATACATATTTCTTAGTCCTGATGAGATCATGGTAGTTGATTTTGGCTTTTGTGAAGATGCCATTACTGTGAAGTAGTTTTTACAATTTCTTATGCTGGTAAATAGTTGCAGTAAGGAAGTATCTTGTTGCATTATCCTCAGCAGCAGTGAGACTGATGAATCACCTGGGCTTAGAGTCTCATTAAGTATACTTTCAGTAAAAATAAAGAATTCAGATAGAATATATAATACTGAATTTAAATAAGATTTGGGGGTTTAAATTTTAACTTTATAAAATTATTTATTCTATTTTAAGCCTTCTGTCTTATTTTACCATCCAAGTATTTTTGGTTTTAGTGGTCCAGCTTTATTTACGGGCATATAAATTGAAATTGTAAGATGTTTCTACAAGCTTCTTCATTTTACATTGAGTAGCTTATCATCTGTATGTTTTTATTTTGTATGGATAAAGAGCATTACTTATGCTTTTGTGCAATAGGTTTGAAACATGCATTTATTAGGCTTATGTTTAAATTGTAAATGTAGCATCTACTTACCATTACATTTAAAAGGAATGTAGATGGCTTTTCTCACTTGTTCAAATGGAGTTTTATTTGGGGCTGTTATTTGGGGGTGGGCGTGTGTGTTTTATGCTTTGTTCCATTTTTTATTTTAAGAGTGAAATGGGGGATTTAAAATATCTGTAAGTACAAGAACTATCTGTCAGCAATATTTTAAAATAAATGATCTTGCAAGAAACCTTAATGTGAATTGTGGAAGCAATCTACAAGACTTGCAGCCTATCTGAAAATGTTTTGTGCCATTGTTAGGTCTGGTATATTTGTGTACCATCATACCTGGGAATATTTTTTTCTACGGTTGTGCAATAGTATACACAACACTGTCACTCAGGAGATATGGGACCGTAAAAAATATCAGACTACAACTATGATGGTGCTATTTTTTCCAATAGGCTATGAGCCTTTGAAAGCTTATGTGGCTCTTATTGTCTTTATAACAACACAGTTCTAGGGGATTTACAGATTTTTTTTTTTCTACTAGATGATAAATATAACTTGCTGTTTTACAGCATTCTGCATATTACGTTGAGATAAATATAATAGGAAAAAGCCAACCAGTCTGTACATCAGTGAGATGAATCTTAGGTACACATTTTGTACAGAAGGCTTTACTGAACAGAAAAATCAAGTTTCTGCTTTTCCTCAGGTAATCACTTCAGTTTGGATGTTTCACTGAAAGCGTTAATGCAACTTTAGTTAGTCTGCCTAAAGTTGATAACAGAAATTGTTCTGCACACGAGTCTCCCTACATAAGATACAATTAGATGTTACTTGGGTCTTGAGATCCATTTTTGAAGAAGTTGCAGAGAGCAACAATAAAGAATATGGAACAATGCTTCAATCTCTGCTCTCATCAAAACTTGCAGTCAGGACAAAAATTACCTAGCAACTTGGGTCTTGTGGCAAATCAACAGGTAGTGTTTTACCTGTTTTATTTATATACAAATTAAAGGTATAACTCTACTATTTGTTCCATATTTTATCCTACTTAGAGTTTTTTGGAAATCTTTTGAAGCCACAATGACCTGTCCATGTCCTGGTGGTAGGATAGGAACTACATGTCCAATTCTATGAACATCTACATTGGTAACTTTACTAATAACCTGGATGGTTCCACAGAAACCAGTGGGATCATTCATTCAAACAGAGGTGTGGCTGAAGGAAGAACTCCTGAGTTTTGAGTACTGATACTCCACTATTTTTGTTATTTCTGTTTGAAATGGAAAGTATTGGTTTGATGGAATCTTTAATTCAAGTGACTTATCTGGACAAAAGGAAAGTTTGTTCTTTCCTTCTGCAAACAGGATCATTTTGCAGTTAAGGGACAATTAGCCAGTGCAACCACTAAGCCTTTTATCCTCATATATGGCATAATAAAGATTCTGGAACTGTCAGAGTGTAAAACCATATTTTTGGCTTAGCTTCATTTAAAAGTTTACAATTTTTTATGCTTTGTGTTGCTGTGTAATTTCTGTACTACTGGTGGCTAGTTTTGTCTGAATAAGCCTTTTGGGGATTAATGCTTAATGTTTTGATTTTATGATAGTGAAGCTTGTATCCAGTGTTTTGCCAATGAATACTATATGCTTGTTAATAAAAGCAGAGAAACTAACTGAAATGCTGTGAGGCTGAAAGTTTTTGTCCCATTCTCTCCCAGGAACATAAGGAGCTAGCAGTCATCGTAGCACTGAATAAATGCAGTGTGACTGAAACAGAGGTGGTGTGGCATTGCATTGTCATAAAATCTGCCTTTTGCTCAAAACAGAAGGATGGCTTAAAGTATTACTCCACTAGAAGTATGTCTGTGACAAGTGTGTGTCAAGTAACTGCTAGGTAGGAAATTAAATGGCTTCAGTCACCAAGAGGGAAAACAGCGCTATCCTGGTGTCTTTGTGTACCTGGAGAAAAAGGTACTTACCTGACCTATCTGCGCGCCTTTCAATCTTACCCTTACAACCTTACTGTGGCTGAGACGTTAACAGTGCAAAACAGATGCTGCAGTAGTTGAATTTCTTGCAGCATCTGCATTACATGCAGTAATGCAAATGTATAGCTTGTGAACTGCTCTGCATGCTGAGAGGACAGTACCTTTATTTATGCTCTTGGCTTGTTAGGAACTACCAGCAACTCTGGGCTGCTTTGAAGTCAGTTTTATTCATACACGCATTTCTTATTTGCACTGACATTACTCATACATAGTTGTCCTGAGGAAATTAGGCATTTGCCACTTACTAGCTTCATTTAAATATCAGTATGAGAGACTAACTGCAGAAGAATCCCTTTGCCTGTGTATAGTCACTTAAAATTGAACAAAAATTATCACTAATTCAGCAAGTGTTACTTTTTGGAAGTCTTCCAAAAGACTTTATTATATGTGGTTTTAATACCTACCTGAACTTTGTGCTACTGGTTGCTTCCATCTATCTGTGAAGTAACCAGTGATGGGCCTGACTCCCTCCCTTTCCTGAACATGGTGTTATTCTAATAAATAAAGTGTAAAAACTTCTCCTGTTTGAAATTCCCAAGCATCACAAAAAGAAATTGTGCTAATAGTTGTGTTTGCTAGCCCTGAAAGCATCAACCTGCCCTGCAGCCAGTAGAAACTAACTACATTTTTTATCCCAGAGGAAATACAAAAGTTTTTACTGGTATTTCTTGCTTTATATGTAACTTAGAGTTTCTTATTTTGCTGATTGACTATTCTGCTACAAAAAAAAAATCATTACTTTGAGTGCACTACTTCTTTTTGTGCAATAACTGCTTCCTTGGGGTTAGAGCAGTCAGAGAAAAAAATCCATATCAATTGAATTTGTGCATTTAAGATAGATAAATTCAGCTGTTTAAACCCAGGTGTAGACATAGTCACTCAGGATTCAACTGGCCACAACTCAAGTTAGGCTTAATCCAGTGCTGCATATGAATAGAGGTAAACTGCAGTGCAAATCCCTAGTACCTCCATAACAAGTCCCTGTACATCTTTAATTTCCAACACCATCCTCATTTAGCTTTTTATATTCTTGGTTGTTTTAGGCTTCCTTTTCATTACTTTTATTTTGAAAAAGTCAAGCAATGATCTAGCATTAGTGGAGAAAAAGGTTTGCAAGAGTAGTCTGAGGGATTTGGCTACTAAAAGGAAGATGTGATCCACATCTGTATAAATATGTCTAGTCTTTCACATGGCAGTGCGCTTGCACTTGTCACTGTGTAGCGGTGTTCTACTGAAGGGCTTGAATTGGACATGTCTGTGCTTTGTGTGTTTTGTGTAATGATTGCATGTCAATGTGTCCATGGAAATGACAACAGAACAAAAATAAAAGCCATTGGCTTCAGTCTGAAGACTGATTGGGTGATTTCCATGAGAAGATGTTGCCGTTAAAGCCTTGTTTGTTGTTTCCTGCCCCAGTTTGTAGTTTGCAATTGTTTCTTCACACACTTGAAGAAAGTAAAACTTCATTCTCATTAAATTCTTAAAGGCTATTTGTTTATTTGTTTTCTCCTTTGATGCAAAGTTCACTGTCCCTTGCCTGAATCCTTGTTCCAAGAGAACACAAAGGCTTTGATTGTGGGTGCTCCAAGGCTGCACCATATGACAGTTTCCACTACTGTTGGGAGCAGTACTGACTGCTGATGCAGCAAATAATGTCTGTACTTCTGGTTTTTTCTACTGGTTCTCATCAGAGCGCAGAACAGAAGTTCTGCTTTGGTGTACTTTGTAATACAATGTACTGTCCAAATGCTTCTGTTTTCCCATTTAAGCAATGCCTTTGTAACTAGCTGCAATGGATTGTATTAGCATTACTTGGATTATTGTTTAATTGCATTTTGCTCTTTTGCAGAAGTGCCTGGAAAGAGACTAGTACACTAATGAATCTTGATGTCAGCTAGAATGTGTCCCTTGGGCTGCTCTCACACCTCTGGAAAAGATTCCTTTCTCTGCTTTGTGTCAGTGTTGCGGACTGCAGCTGCACATCTGAGACTTGATGATTTCAACTGAAATGCTCAGCTTTGAGGGTCTCTCTAGATTTTATTGAGCCATTGCAGTGGGCATTGCTTAAAAATGGTCAATGCTGATTTGAAGCACAGATGATGAGTTGTTTCTGGGTCCTCTGCCAATGGCACCTAAACAGATCCTCTGTGTTGTGACTCAAGAGAAAACAAGCTTCTCATTCTGATGACTGTCTTCTCTTTCCTTAGAAAACAAGCAGTCCCAAGTCTATGTATTCTGATATGACAGGGACTGCTTCACCATTTCTCTCTTCAAGAGCTTTTGGAGATTAGAGTGTCCTTTACAGACAAGGTTGACTACTCAGGCTCACAGGGTCTCACAAGTAACTTTGCTATTGTTAACCAGAATGGCTGGAGGCTAAGCAGGTGCAAAGAGTTGCTCACAGGTCTGTGATGGGCACCTGGGGTAGCTCACATTGCCTTCAAGAAAGTTCTCAGATCTGAGGTAGTAGGTGGATCCCACCTTCAGCTTTTTTCATAGCTGATTGGCATCTTGGTACTGTTTGTCTGATCTCTGAGGGTCCTTCTTAAGAAAGTATGCTTTCAACTTGCCTTGGGCCTGATCCTCTTGCTTCATTGGCTTTGGTGGGTTGACTGCCTTTGTTGCTGCAGTGTGGGAGCTGTTCCTGCTAGATATGAGAAGGCCTCATCTGTCCCTCTTTCCCTGTTCAGATACTCTGATCTGTGTGGCCCATTTGATGTTGCACATCATGTTGTAAGTGGTGCAGGTGACAGTTCAGCTTCCTGCTTCATGCTAGGAGCAGGAGCCAGTTCTGTTGGTGGTGTTATAATCCGCCGCCATCATGGAGGAACAAAGAAAACTCTCTGTGAATAAGGCAGGATGAACTCAAAGGTTCAGTTATTCCCAGAAACAAGAATAAAACCAAAACGAGGTTAGACACTGATACCAAAAATATTGATATATTTTATTTAACAGTAAAAGAGGTAAAGAGAAAGAAAAGTAGAGAAAAGTTAGAAAAAGCTATGGTTACTTTAAAAAATAGCCCACCACCACACTCTTGCTACCTTTTTTTGCCACTGATACCAGGTTGGGACGAAGCAGTTTGTGCAGTTTTTTTCTTATTTTCTGCCATTTGAAGTGTCATATCTACCTTCCCCAATCTTGGGAGCAGCTTAGCTGGAAAGCAGCCACCCTGCCCCCAAAATGCAGGCACAGTGCCCCATCCCTGCAGTCAAGCTCTCACCTCAGAAGGCAGAAGCAGGGAGATGGGCGGTTTCCACAGCACACTTGTGACTTGGATCCAAGGAAGAAGGATCGGAGAGTTCTTCTTGAGCTGACAGCATCATCTCCCAGAGGCCTTGGAATGTCTCACAGCAGGCAGTGGTGGGTGAGGGAAGGCAAAGGTCAGAGATTCTGCCCTTCTCTTTCTTCTCCACACTTTTGCACAGGTTTTGCCTTCCTTTTAGTGGATCTCAGGCTGGGCTGTTCACAGTCCATCCTGCACATAGTTTTCAGGTGTTCAGAAGATATTTTGGTAAGCAGACATAATGATGAAGCACTTTTTGTAGCCTTTCTCATAATATCGGGTTCTGCAGACACAGGAACTCATGATCTTAAAAATTGTCTGCTGTTTTCTGGATTTTGTGCTGGAATTGGAGAGGAGGCTGATTTTATTACTAATCAATCATTATCCATAATTCATGGAAGAGGTAAGGACTGCGTGTAGTCTAACACACTAAGTGCCTGGAACATACAAAATGTAGCTATTGTGGCTGTGCATCTGAAAGGACAGCCACTGTTACATAATTGATGATAGACTTAATTTAAGTCAGAAAAAAAGAATTCTGCAGGAGATTCTAAAGGTCATCAGGAAGGGTGAGCTGACTGAAACAGTGAAGTCTTTGCTTAGACAATGGAAAAAAATACAGGCTTCACTGGAGTTACTTGAGATGTCTGAGAAGTCTATACACTTCTGGGTGCAAAGTAATTGGAAAAAGACACAATGGAAAAGAGAGATGAGTTGGGAAATGCCTGTTTCAGTACATGAGGTTGCTTTGGATTTTGTGTCATGTATCACTTAATGTCTTGTTGTATGTTGGAAGTGCTGGGCCGGTGTCCCTGCACACTTCCTGGTGACCCTGCAGCCCCACTGCAGAAGCTGTGCTAGAAGGCCCTTACTGAGTCCTGTGGCAGTGAGAGAGTTTCTAATCAGGTCCTTGGTTAGAAAGGAGGCTCCGAGATGGCCAGTCACAGCTAGGGGGGAAGAAACTGTGTCCTGTGGTTTTCCAGGGTCATTTGACCACCTCTGAGGTGGTCAAATAGCCAGTGGGAGAGTTAAGCACTGGAAGTAGCAAAGGGATATCCAAAGACAAGTGTGTAGCTTTATGGACAATTACCAGCCAGCCAGCCTCAGGGAAAAGAAGGCATATCTTTGAGATAGTGTGCAGCTAGGGTGCAGCTAGGGTGCTGTCATTAACTGGAAGTCCATGGTCCACCTATCATCCATCTGCCCTCTCACAGACCAGTTTTATCAGGGATGGATGCAGCTGTTTTAAACTTAGTACAGATCTGGAGCCAGTGTCAGCTAGATCCCACCCATCTGCTGGCAGGTACTCATAGGAGCTTTAGGAGCACATGTCTGCAAAATTTCA